TTGTGCATTTCAGATGACTCAAATTATTAATAGACATCGATGGGGACAAAATTGCAAAACATAGTATACCTACGGTGTAGGTACCTACCTGCCAGGTTCAAAATCCTGGAAAAACTATTTTCATCCTCAGAGACCTCTGACCTCTCTCTGGACCTTTAAATACCTGTGGCAGCTGAACTTCATTCAGCTCCACTTAGTATGGTCATCAATATGTTCTTGTTATTATGTGAGTTTTCCAGAAGAGCTGAAGCCTTCCCTGTCACAAGGCTGTTGCCTGCATGGTGGCAGAGAAACTGTGAGAGAATGAGTTTCCTGCTTAGGTATACCTTCCACAGATCTCCCATGTATGAGGCACCCACTCACTGGGTAAAAGGTGAAAGCCTTCTACCCTTGTTGGAAGTGTCACTGTCCCTATTATCCTCAGTCACTAGGCAGGGTGGAAAGAACCAATGGGATCCTTCAACCTAAAAATTTTAAACTAACACAAACTACTGGTAGTCTCGGCCTAGTAAACCAATTAGATCCTCAAATTTGCTCAGTTACAATTTCTTTTTTAACACCGCTGAGCTAATTTGTTTTTATCTTTGGTCAAGTGTGATGGCTGTCAAACAAAATTTTGTCCAATTACCCTGGAAGTGCCATTCATAAACCAAACAACTATTTGTTGGTCAACTGATGAGCTGCTCATAGGGCACCGTCCAAGTGGCAATAGGGGCTGGCAGCTCCTCAGACGGTTTCAAAGACGGCCATAGGAGAAAAGAGGTTCCCTAATCACAAGTATCTCCTTGCAATCACAGTAGCATGTTGTATAAACTATATCCATTTTATTATGGAACTCTCTGGCACTGCTTTCCCCTTTGAACCCTTCTGGTTTGCCAAAAGAGAGGCAGATATTGCAGATAGCTATTCCCTTGGGTGGAAATTCCCTTGGGGGAGGGCTTGCACATAGCTAGCAAGTTGCACTAATGCCAGTAGCCCTAGAGGCTATAAATGGGTCCAGGCAGGAATAGACATTGACTCTGGCCTTGGTTTGGCATATCTGATGGTAGATGCAAATGCCAGGAATACTATAAAAGGGCCAGAACAGAAGATATTGCACCAATTCAGACCACTGAGTCACATATCTCCAGACTAAGGAACACATTTTACCATCTATGATGTCCAACCATGGGCAGAGAGAGATTCTCTTTAGAGTAACAGCGTGCTCAAAGTCAATACGAGGAGGGCCGAGGGAGGTTTCCTACTCCACAGATCCCTCTACTTTCCTGGCATATTAAGGAAGAGGAGGTGGGAGAGGATGCCAGTAGGACAGTGACTATGGTTTTTCTTTTCTACTGCAGCTTCTCAACTTTCCTTTTTTCCTACTGATGCAGTGATCGGAGGGTGAGGGCTACAACTGCAAGTGTTGGAAACAGAGATGAGTTCTAAGGCAAGAAAATGTAATTATATCTTTAAACTTTTAGGTCAGAATTCTTAAGGACTTGATGGTGTGGACTGTGCCTTCATCCCATCTGGCAAAATTGCTGTTGACAGGTAATGCCTGTGTAACGTCTACTGGTAGAAACAGCCCATTAATTCCTATCCTATAGGGAGGGAGTGGACTGAGGCTGAGGCACCTGCTAAACTGGTATTGCTTCTGGCAATCTAGATCAGCCCCATAGCCCATCCTACCATCCCACCTAAAGGCAGGACGTGTTGGGTGTAAATGGAGAGAAGGAAGAACAATAACTGAGGGAAAAGGAATGAATAAATGGGTTGCATGATGTGGGAGTTCCATCCAGTCTATTACATTAACACTTGGAAAGAGGCTCAGAGCAAGAGATTGTATTGTCTTTTAGCTCAATTACAGCAGATGCCCAAAAGGGTGATGCCATATATTACTGAGACTATTCTTCTAGATTATTCTTTTTTGAACCTGACAAGATTAAGTGGAAGTCTGCACAACTGAGGGGCCTGGCCTGGAGAGACATTTTTGTTTTACAATATGACAATGGACCGGCCTACTTGCTAATTACTGAGGAAAACTTTTTTGTACCAGTATCTTTTCACCCTTACTTTTTGGGTTACATTACCATACTTATGGCATTGTTGGTAAGGTTATAATGCTGATATAGGTGGACAAAGGTATTGTGACCTCTAAAGTCAAAAGCCTCCTATGCCTACCTCACACTGCCTACCCCAAATATTAGGCATATAAAAAGAATACTAGCCAAAGGCCAGGGGTTGTCTTATATAATAAAGAATCTGGCTGGCCTTTGTCCCTGGTTCCTGCCAGGTAGCCTCTAAGCCCTTGGAATTTCCTGGGTGAAAGGAGACTATCTTTGTTATTCATCTTCAGTTCCCATTGGTAAACTGCCTGGCTTGTGGTGGGTCCCTAGATAGTTGATACTAATGATATGACTCAGGACTGGAGGCTGGCTATGCTTGAAAGACCAGCCACATGATTAGAGGGCTGGGGCTTTGAGTCACAGTCATATTAGCCAGACCTCCAGAGGGAGAGGGTGGGGCTGGCAATGGAGTTCAACTGTCGATTCCAATAATGGTGATTGCATGATGAAACTCCAAGGGTATGCCTTCCGAGTTGGCAGTGCTCTGTGTATCGTCCCATATGATATGCAAGGAGGGCAATGAATCCTGACTTCATGGAGAGAAAAGTTTTGAGTTTGGAACCCTCCAGACCTCACCCTATGCATTAGTCTGTTTGTTCTGATCTGTATCTTTTTTGCTATGATAATACTTTAATCATATATATAGTGGTTTCCTGAATTCTAGTGAATTATTGAACCTGAGAGGGTAGTGGGAATCCCCAAATTTGTAGACAGTTGGTCAGATGTGAGGGTGGCCTGGGGATCTCTGCACTTGCAGCTGGTGTCTGAAGTAGTCTTGTGCGGACTGCGCCCTTATCTGTGAACTCAGCCCAACTCCAGGTAGTTGATATCAGAAGTTGCTGCGACCCCCTTCCCCCAGTTAATTCTAAGCATATTGATAACGTACTATCTAAAGCAATTCCTCTCAGTGTGGATACTTTATGTCTAAAGTCACAATCATGCTGGAAAGGAGAGTAAATAAAGAGGAACAACAGAAATCCCACCATATAGTATCTGGAGTTCTGTGAACTTGCTTATGTTGAAGGTAAAGTGGAGTCATCGATGCATAGGTGCTATTTAAAGCCATTAGACTGTGTTAATACCCCTAGGAGATAAAGAAGAGGTTCTCTCTCAGGCATGTAAAGTAGAAGGGTTGGACTGTGCTTCCTCCTAGGGGAGAGGAAGATCTGGGCTCATCTAATTGCACAGTGGCAATGAGTTCAAAAGTGGAGAAGTGCTCTGAAGCACAGGCGGCCAAGAAGACAATTCTGATCTCTTTGCCTCATCTACCAAAAGTGTCAGTGTGTCCCAGTATTTGGAATTGTAGGGACTAAGGGCAGGTTGCCCCCAAATGCACCGTTTTGATTATTTTGAATGAAAAGTTACTTAACAAACCCCAGCCAAAGCAGGAAGAACTCTGATCCCCTTTTTGTCTCCAGAAAGCACGACATAAATCTCTTATGTGAAGGATATCTTCCCTATACTGGGAGTAAAGAGACATGCTTTTCACCAGAGAGGGCATTCAGAGCTGTGAAGACTATATAAACAAACCTTATTACTTTTACTAATTTACTACTGCAGCCCAAATTCTGTTTAGAATTCCTAAACTAGTTGAAGCCCCTGAACATAAGTTTTCCTTTTCTTGTCAGTTCCTCACAGACTTATAGCCTGTCTAAAAAAGTATAAAAACTGCCTGCCTAGGCCATTCCTTTAGGTCTCAATTTCATTACTGGGCCTCTGTGAGTATATAATCAAACTTTTTTATTGTCTCCTGTTAATCTGTCTCATGCATTCTTTGGCCAGCTCAAAGAACCTTTAAGGGGAGAGGACAGTATTTCCTCCCCAACAGAATCTGTTTATGTTTGGACCATATCAGAACTTTCTTTGAATAGCTATAAACTCAAGAGTAAGAGATGCGTTTAAACACTTGGGTGCTCTTTGGAGGTAAGTATGTGGCTAAACATAAAGCAGGAAGAATGGCCCGGCCATCCCCCTTAAAGGGTCTTCTCTAGTAGCTGAGGGAAGTATCTGTGTTTTGTTTGTTGCAAGTTGTGCTTTCAAAGCAGAGTGGTAAGATAACGCAGTAAGGGATGGGTGGGGACTTCATCCTATCTTCATTCTGTCCAAGTTTACTCTTGATTCCAAGGTCAAGATTTAGGTCAGGCATGAAAGTTTCTCAATTGACCCTTTCTTTATATGGCTGCAATGGAAGGAACTGTGATCCCCTCAAATCCGTATGTTAAAGCCTGACCCCCAATGTGATAGTATTTCAGGATGCAGCCTTTCAATCAGGTTTAGCTGAGCCCTGAGAATAAGGCCCTTCTGAGGGTCTTAGTGCCCCCAGTGGAAGAGACGCACAGTGCTCTCTCTTCGCCCTCTGAGGACGCAGCGAGAAGGCTGTTCTCTGCAAGCCAGCAACTGAAGGGAACCTTGATTTTGAACTACCCAGCCTTCAGAGCTAGGAGAATAAATTTCTGTTGTTTAAGCCACAGCCACATAGTTACGATATTTTGTTATAGCAGCCTTAACAAACCAGGGCAGTGGTTTCTAGTAAGTTTGCTCAGAATCTGGTACAATTTTTATTAAATATTCTATATTGTTAGTATTTCCGTGTTTGTGTGCTTCTTTCAGTCTTCAAAGATATATTGATGGACAACTATGGCAACGTCAGGCACTGCACAATCTTCCAATTATTTGAACTAAGAAGTTTAGCCTTGATATTTTTGATTCGCCTTCTTTACCATCTCAAACAACCCAGTTCTTTGAGAAATTAAGAGCAGCGGTCCTTATCTTACAAATATTTACAGAACTAAAAATGTAGCTCTAAGGGACAGAACTTACCTATCCTTTTACCAACCCCAAACCTCCCCTATTTATTGCAAAAGGCTTGTAAATTATTAACCTTAGAAAACCAAAGTCCTTCTTGGAGAAAACTGCATTCTTTTTTTGTCCTTTGAAACTATAAATCTTATCATGTCTTTGAAATGTAAACATAGCCCCCAATCCCCTAAGACTAGGGAAAAAGGGAAAGAGGCCTTTCAAAAACACAAACTGCTAAAAAGCTCTCTTGCCTGGATCACTGCCTCCTGAAGACAAATGCAAATCGTAAGTGCCTTCTCCACAAATATTAGTAATTATAAGGTCTCTGTGTTTTTTCACGTATGTCTCTCTCTCTCTCTCTCTCTCTCTCTATATATATATATATGTTATATTTTTCTTCTGGATGGTATTGCTAAAATTAATTTGTAAAAGAGCTCTATTTAATTGGTCTGAAAGCAAGCATTGTAAGGATTGGGCATTCTAAAACTCTCAGAAGTGTAAAAATGAACCCAAATGTTTTTCAAGTTCACATGATCTGGGATTAATCTTTAATAAATAAAAGCTTGTTGAAGTTTGTTGGTTTAATTAAAATAGACATGGCTTTAAAACTATCAGCATTAAATATAAAATTTTATTCATTTGCCAACAATAACTTGGTATGATAAAACATTTACTTAAAAATAGCCTCCAAAATTTTTTTTGGTAACCCGAAATCTCAAAGTTTTGCTAAATTACATGAAATTCATTGAATATCTAGATCATTTCCAAACAACATAAAATAATGAAACACAAGTATTGAACATAGGTTAATCTACCTTTGGCTTCCTTGTTACAGAGCAAATAAAGGTGGGTTTGTTAATAAAAATTTGTGCTTTATTGAAAAATTGCACTAGAAAGAAGCATGTTTCTAAAAATCATAAAATGTATTCATAAATTTGCCAACTAAAGAATGCTGGTGTAACAGCAGGTTCACAATTGCTTACTTCTTAGTTTTCAGTAGGATCAAAAGTTTCTAAGGGTTAAAAATTCTAATTAATATATGTGGTTAAAACTATTAAACATAATGAAGGAAACAACTCTCTTTAAGGAAAGTAAGAGGTTTTTTTTTAAATTAAAGAAGATATGAGGAATGGAAATGCATTTTGTTGAAGGAAAAGAAAGTACTTTTGTTTTAAAGTGAGGCTGGTTATTTAAAGAGGGAAGACAGGACAAAATCTGAATATAGAAAAGAAAGTTGTAAAAGTTTTATGAAAAAAGAATTCCGGGAAAGAAATTTCCAAGCTGGCTAAGATTAAAATGAATTTATTTAAATGAGTTTTAATATAAAAAATATACTGGTGCAAAATTAAAATTTGGTTTTTCTCTTTGTTAATAGGACAAAATTTTCTTGTCCTATTGGCCTGCTCTTGATGAGAGATTATAAAGGGATTGTTTAACTTTTAAAGTTAACTGCCTAAAAAAGTGAGGATTTTATATTTTATCAAAATAATTCCCTGAACTTCACATTATCATTAGGGCTTTGATTACTCAAGTAAACTGTCTTCTTAATATTAAGAGAGTTATGATTTGCTCACAAGTATGTAACTTTATGTATCTGTCTTTGAAATATTTTATCGTCACCGATTAAATGGATAGGTATTGTTTCATAATGATCTGTGATTCTGTTTAATCAAATCATCAAACATTTTGAAATTTTTGGACAAGTTTCCCAAAATAAAATTCTAAATAAAGTCCTTTTTACCTTAGTTAACTCTGAGAACATTTCAGAGGATTATTTTTCTCCCCTAAAAGAGAAATGTGAAACTAATTAGGCTTTTTTATCTGGTATGTTAAGTTAAATGGAAAGCATTGTCAAATAGTGATGCTAAACCTACTTTGGTTATATCTGTATACATACATATTATTAAAATAAGTGTTCTAGCAATTACATAAAACCCCTAGAAATCTGATATGTCCTGATAAAATTTTAGTGTTGTCACAAAAATAACCAAATTTCCCTGTCAAACGCATTGTAATGAAATCTAATTGGATCTTTAACCATTGCCATTTTTAAGTCTTCTATCATTTATAGAGCTACACTTTTACTCAGATGCATTACAGAAGTGTTCCTGTAAAAATACTTCATCTTCAAGAAGATTCATGAAAAATACTCGAATACAGATTTCTACTAACCTTAAGGGCATAAAACTGAACAGGGTAAGAATTTCCCAAACGAGTGGAAAAACTAGATTCATACGGAGTAAGAATTAATAACATGGAACTAAATGAACTGAGGAGGAGGATTACAATTTTTATTACTTTGTTGTTTGAAACGTTGCTTATTTTTAAAAAATATTGTTTTTCCAGATTTAAGAAAAGTTTTTCTGTTAAACTGAGAACAATTTGATTAGTAAGCAAAATTGAAACATTTATCCTTTTCTCCCTACCTGATCTACAGAATTCAGAAACTCTCAAATAGAGACTGTCCCTGAATCTCCCCGGGGGGGATTAAACAGGTCCTCATCACTACCCAGATGGCAGCCAAACTTCAGGGACTTGAGTTTTGGATATGCATTTCACAGAAAAACAAAAAAGCTCCACCTGACATCTGCTCCTTTGTAAGCTTTGGAGTCTTCCAGATCAAATTGACTGGAAAGAGAAGTAGCTGACATGGTGGTAGACTGCATCCTCCTAAGATGCCACATCAAGACTTCATTCTTTAATTAAACAGGAAACCTTTTCCTCTTCCCTTTCTTTCCTTTACTCTGACTCTGGCCTGAAAAGATAAATGCTTTGTCTGTGTCTTCCAAACCATTGCTAAGTTGGGGTGGGAGGTGGGTGAGTAATCTTTGCTTTTCAGACTGCTGCATTTGTCATCAAAACTCCTATCTGTCCATCAACAGTGCCACCTTAGTGAAAGTAGTTTGTACCTCACTAGGGTTTATCTTTGTGGTGGTTACCGTTTTCCTTGGGTCTGTGAATGCCTAGGTAGCTGGCACATAGCCAGGCAATTCCTCTTAGGTTGTATAACTGTACCTTGGTCAGGAATACATGTAAATGAAAACATGATCAGAAACCTCTTCTTAATTCTTGGAGATATTGTAAAATCTGTTCCTAGGACTGTAGTTCCCTACCAAAGGTCCTTAGACTCTCTAGTCAAAGTTGTTCTTGGTAATAGCTCTTAATTATATTTTGGCTGTGCAAGGAGGTGTCTGTGCTGTGGCCAATACCATGTGCTGTGCCTGGATTAGTTAATACTTCTGGGGAAGTTGAAACTCAGTTATATTAAGTTCACAGAACAAGGTGGTTGGCTTGAGAAGATGACTCCATCCATGAGGTCTTTCTTTAACTTATTTGACTGTTATTGGTCTGGATCTTGGGGACCATGGCTCCAAAGTGCATTCCAAATATTGGGAATTTATCCTGCTTATAGTAATCATAAAAATCTTCCTGGCATGTTGTATTCTCTCAAAAGCTTTAGATGTGTGATTGCAACAGCTAATCACAAAGCAAATGATCTCCCTGAGACTGAAATGTCAGAAAATGAACAAAGTGGGAGACTGATGTAAAAGCTGTAAACTTGAAGTCATAACCTATGAACAGCACAGAGATTAAACAAAACATGGTATTTGCTTGGTATCATGGTAGATACCAAAGGATGGGCAAAAGCTGCTGGAACTGCAGAGCAGTAGTAGAGAATGGCTGAGCATTAATGCCTTAAATTTGATCACATTTCAGTTAGGCTGAGAGTCTGATTAAAAGGAGGAATTGTTAAAAAGGAAAACCACAGGCCCATAATAGAGTCGCTTAAAGTTAGGGCCCCACATTAGTAAACCAAGATTAATATCTAAGTGCAGTTTCAGCCACTTCAGGAATGTAACTTTTAACCAGGCAAACTGGAGTTTTCTGAAGACCTCTCTCCCTTAGAAGGGCAATCTTACCTAAACAATGTGCTTCCTTGCTAACAAACTACTTTCTAAAAGTCCTCTCTTAGCCTATTAAAGAAACCCTTTCTTTCTTGCAGCCTTTGGAGCTTCTCTCTACTTGCTAGATGGGATGATGCTCAATTCATGAGCTGTCAATAAAGCGAATTAGATTTTCAAATTTACTTGGTTGAATTTTGTTATTTAACACTGATTTCCAAACCTGAGTGCCTCAGAATCACAGTGGGAGCTTGTTAAAACAGATGACTTATACCCATCCTTAGAGTTTCTGATTCAGTGAGTTTTGGGTGAATCTTCAGAATTTGCACTTCCGTGGTGGTGTGGATGGTGATGGTGAGGGACCACATTTTGAAAACCCTTATTAGGTCATCTATGCATAATTTTAGTCTTCCTACTAATGTTACAAAATAATTTTTAAAAATTGGAATATAGTTGGTATATAATATTATATTGGTTTCAGATGTATACCATTGTGATTTGGTAATTATATACATTCCTACATGCTCACCATGGTAAGTGTAGTCACCCCTTGTTACCTTAGCAAGATATTATAATATTATTGGTTATATTCTCTGTGCTGTACGTCCACTCCTGTGACTAATTTATTTTATAATTTGAAGTTTGTACCTCTTTATCCCCTTCACCTATTTCACACCCCCATTCTTCCACTCTTCTTTTGTATGGTAACTAAGTCTGTGGTCGGTATTTTTGGGTCTAGTTCTTTTTGTTTTTTTTTTTTTTTAGATTCCACATATAAGTGAAATCATATGATATTTGACTTATTTTGCTTAGCATGATACCTTCTAGGTCCATCCATGTTGTCACAAATGGTAAGATTTTCTTCTTTTTAATGGCTGAATAATATTCCATTTTGTGTGTGTGTGTGTGTGTGTGTGTGTGTGTGTGTGTGTATGCATGTATATATATTACATCTTCTTTATCCATTCATCGATTGATGGATACTGGGCTGCTTCCATAACTTGGCTATTGTAAATAATGCTGCAATGAACATAAGTGTCCATATATCTTTTTGAGTTAGTGATTTTGTTTTCTTTGGGTAAATTCACAGAGGTGGAATTGCTGGGTCACATGGTATTTCTGATTTTAGTTTTTGGAGAAACCTCCATACTGCTTTCCATAGTGGCTGCACCAATATACATTCCCACCAATAGTGTACAAGGGTTCCCTTTTCTCCACATTCTCACCAAAACTTGTTATTTCTAGTCTTGTTGCTATTAGCCAATCTGACTGGTGTGAGGTGGTATCTCATTGTGGTTTGATTTGCATTTCCCTGACAATTAGTGATGTTGAGCATCTTTTAAGTGTCCATTGGCCAGCTGTATGTCTTTTTGGAGAAATGTCTATTCAGGTCCTCTGCTCATTCTTCAATCAGGATTTTTTTTTCTGGTGTTTAAAAATAATTATTTCTGGTGGCATACATAATAAGGAGTTTACTCTCTCAACAGCATTTGATCTTAAAAGCCTCAGATGTCATTGTACTTTTTTCCCTTCTGTCCTTCAAAAAAATACCTATTGAGATCTGTGTTAAGAAACTGGAGATAATGAACTGAATAAGACCTTATACAAACATTTCTAGCTCCTCATCTCCATACTAGCTTCAGTGTAATTCATTAAATTTTTGAAATGGGCATTCTCTTTCTAATGTTGAAAGTTTGTTTCAAGATAATCAGCTCTATCAAAAATTAAACTTACAATTCTTCTAAGTTTTATTCATGTGCTCAAATGATCAAAACTAGTTAAATCCTTTAAAAGTTTTCATAAAACAAAGAAATATAAAATGCGAATCAGGCAAACAGAAATAAAGATCTCAATTTAGCCACTAGATGTCATATACTTAGAATAGTTAGATATTGAATGGCTTACTAGCTATATTGGTAAACAGGTAGATGCTGTATATGGATTTTCATTTTTAAATGCTCAAAATACAGTTAAGGATACTCAAAACTAATCATTTTGAAAGATACATAAAAATTAGGTGATCTGATGATTTAGTAGTTTCAGGATCATATAATTCCTATGAGTCATCAGAATGGCCACCAACACTTATGCCACCACCACTCAACATATACCGAATATACTTACTATGTGTCAATGCTGACACTGGTTTAGTGGTAATTAATCACTCCTCACAAAATCTGTAAAAGAGGTATTATTATCATCTTCATTACGTCAAAGCTTAGAAATATTTAGCAGCAAGTGTTGGTCCTGGTACTAACTATTGGAGTTATTGCGAAGGGCAGGAAGCTTTGGTGTCCAGGTGCACAAGCTTTGACTGTGGTGGTGGTAGTGAGGGGGTGCATTGTGAAATGAGTGGGCACACCCAGGCTACTTCCCAGCAGTCACATGTGCTCTGCCCAAGTCCTCCCACTGACTTAAAACCCAGCTGAGCTTTGCCCTTTTCTTGTGTCCTCCCACCCTTTGGTGTGCAGGATGTGGCACTTCTATTACCGTGACTTCACAAGGAACAGGACATGCAGGGTCCGCAGACACCAGGAGCACAGCTCCCCCTTGCTAGTCCAGTCTGTGTAAAATGGATTGACTATTTTATCTTGGGATATTTCCCTCAACCTTACATTTGATCATGTGAGGGATGTCCTCCGAGACTAACAAAGACCTTTTTCTTGATAACTGTATCACCTTTCAACACTCCCAAGTCCTCTTGCTGCTTTAGAATGTATCTCAATTTGGGTAGGTCCGAATCTGAACTTATTATCTTCCAGCCCCTGCAAACATGCTCCCCACCTTGAAGGGTGGCCCCATCCTGTGCAGTGTCAAAGCCAGAAACCCATCTTTCACTCTCTGGTTTGCTCATTACCCTTCACCCCAATCTAATTCATCAAGTCTAGTCAACTCTACTTCCTAAAAGATCATCCATTCTTTTCCCAAATCACTGTTTGTCTGTCTTTCCTTCTTGTTTGTTACTCTCTCATCTCTTATTCATGCTATCATCAAAGTGATCCTTTAACACTTAAAATTATTATGTGCATTCTTAAATACCCTCTAATGACTTTCCATTGCAATTGAAGTTCCAAATTTCATAATATGGCTTTTAAGATGCTCTGTAACTGGCGCCTACCTACCTCTCCTGCCTGTCTCTGACCACTTATACGCCCACCATGATAAATTTGTTTTGCTTCTAGAAAGGGCCACATGCTCTTTCCCATTTGTGTCTTTTATATGCTGTTCTACCTGAAACAATCTCCCACCAATTCCTACTCATCCTTCTGACATCACCTTAAATACTACCTCCTC